AAATTCAGGTAAAGCCAGCAAGATTTGTTGATGAATTGCTGGGGGGTGGGGGGGGAGAAAGAAGTCAAGGATTCCTCCTGGTTTGGGCCCAACCAACCAGAAGACTTTTGTCCCCTCTCTGAAATCAGGAACACCTGGGTTTAAGTGGTAGGCCATCAAGTGTTTAGTGTTTTGTGTTTTTTTTAAGTTTATATTTTTTTGAGTGTGTGTGTGTGTATGTGAGAGGGAGAGAGAGAGGGAGAGAGAGAGAACGAGAGAGAACGAGAACACACGAGCAGGGGAGGGGCAGAGAGAAAAGGAGAGAGACAGAATCTCAAGCAGGCTCCATGCTGTCAGCACAGAGACTGACATACGGCTCAATCCCACGAACCATGTCATCATGACCTGAGCCCAAATCAAGAATCAAACACTTAACCAACTGAGCCACTCAGGTGCCCCTAGTTTTCACATGTTAAGTTTGAGATACTTATCAGGCAATAAAATGAAGATTTCAAACTGGCAGTTGGATATATATTCTGCTGTTTAGGGAAGTTCAGCTAGGAGATATAAATTTAGTGGAATTAGTATATAGGTGGTATTTAAAGGTATAAAACTGGGTGAGATCAGTTTGGGAGTGGGTTTAGGTGGAGAAGAGGAAATATCCAATCTCCCCAACTTTCAACAACTGTCTAAAATTAAAACAAAGATAACCCCCATCCCCCGACCACCAGAGGATAAAAAAAAAAAAAAAGCTGGGCATATTTACATGTCAGGCAAGGAGAAATTCACTGACTAGTTCTCTAAGGAAGAAAAGTCACAGTTTTTAAAGCTTTAGGAATAGGGTTCCGTGGTGGTGATGCTAAGTTGGTGGTTGGTTAAAATAGATTCCTTGTTCATTGGTCAGGAGTCTTCAGTGAGGTCCAGGAAGGGTCTAGTGTCTTGGGGTCACTTGAAATTCATGGTCATTGATCACTGTCAGCTGTTTAAAACCACTGTGATGAAATTCAATATTCAGCCATGAAATCTCCTAGGCATTTGCCACTGGAAAGTTGAGAATGGATGGCTGTGTGGGGTGTTTCGTTTTGTTTTGTTTTATACAGCCTGGAAAATGGGGAAGATCTGGCAAAGAACAGTAAAGAGGATCCGCCACTGGATTAGGAGGTGAGGACTGTGGCAGCCAAGGACCATGTGGTCACCAGGATGCGAGGAATCCAAGAAGTAGGGAGAAGTCGGTGGGCTCACGTGCTTCTGAAAGACATAGTAAGACTGAGGCGTAGTAAGAGAAGGAGTAAGACTGTCCATTGTATCAGCAACTTGGGTTGCCAGTGACCTTGACCTGGGATAGTGAAGACAATTTTGATTTTATTAAGTTAAGGAGAAAAGGGGAAGGAGAAAGTGGAGACAGGAGCACAGACAAATCTTTTAAGAGATGTAGCTGTAAAGGAGAACAGAGTAGGAGGACAATGGCTGAGGAAGAATGTGGTGGTCAAGACAGTTTTTTTCTTTTTTCTTTAAACATGCTGTATGTTTGCTACGGATGAGATTGACTTGCTAGAGGAGGAAATTGTTGAAGTCAGGAGAAAGGGGGACAACCAATAATGCCCTCAGTCCAGAGTGCATTTGTGTGCTTTTTGCTCTGCAGGTGGTCTCGGCCATCACTTCTTCTCTGCACTTGTTAGATGCAGAAGTGCTTTCTTCTGTATATTCTAAATGATACATAGTCTGTGAACTTTGACTAGAATTCACGTCTATCTCAGTGCTTCGGATTTTGGCAAGCAACTTGGTTTAGGTGGGCTGTGTTTCCTTGGTCTTTACTTTTTCAGATGCCCATCCTTTCGGTTGACCCCCACATGCAGCAAATCACTCACTACCTGTCTCCCTCTGGGGACCATATGAAGCCAGCCTCCTGGCAGAAATTCTGGGAGTTCCTGTAAGGGCAGGATACATATTTCTGCTTTTTCTCCAGTATTCATCTTTGAAGATGCCCAATAATTTATTGGAATTTTTGGATAGAAAACACTTTATGCTTTTTGGGGGGATGACCCACAGTGATGCCCATGACTCCTAACTGGGCCATGACTCAGCCCTCAGAGTCCAATCTTTTGAATGATTTCAGATATTTTTTATCCATCATTATTTAACCTGGCCCTCATCCATATAAAAGTCATCTGCTATTCAGTGCCCACACACAGATTTGTAAGTGCTTCCTGAAGTCTAGTGCCATCCACTTGGTGCTTCTGGTCCAGGAAGAAGTTAGTACCATTCCCAAACTATGTCGTTAAGAAAAATGACTTCACTTGGAAGCTGGGACGTATTGCTTAGGCTTGATCTTCCTACTGCTTCAAAACTACTTAAAGTTTGAGCTGTGTTGATAGACCTAGAGATACAAATTTTTATTCACATGGAAGTCATTGCAAGGGTTTGGTTGTCAGTCTTCTCAGATCCCTCACACAGTGGCCCTGCTCTGGAGCATGCTCTGTGGTGACCCCTGGCCTTAGCCATTGCACTCTGGGGGCCTGAAGCCCAATAGAGAGCTGTAGAACCCCTTGCACTGGTTTGTGGGGGTCCATAAGGATGGTGGAAGAAGCATGGGTTGTAGCATTAGGCTAACCTGGTCTGTTGACTGTGGTCTTCTGCCTACTGGCCATGTGGCCACAGTCCAGGTGTCTAATTTCTTTCAGCCTCAATTTCCCTGGCTGTAAAATGAGGACCAATGAGGGGCGCCTGGGTGGCTCAGTCGGTTAAGCGTCCGACTTCGGCTCAGGTCATGATCTCATGGTCTGTGAGTTCGAGCCCCGCGTCGGGCTCTGTGCTGACAGCTCAGAGCCTGGAGCCTGTTTCAGATTCTGTGTCTCCCTCTCTCTGACCCTCCCCTGTTCATGCTCTGTCTCTCTCTGTCTCAAAAATAAATCAACGTTAAAAAAAAATTTTAAAAACAAAAGTGAGGACCAATGATACTACTATTCACAAGGTTGTTGTCGGAAGTGAATGTAATCACTCATTTAAAGTGCTTAGCATAGTGTCTGGTCCATATGCGCTCGATTCATATTATTAATTTTTTTAAAAAACTGTAATAAACCTCAGTCCTTCCCCCAAGTATACCTGTGGTTTGGGGCATGATGTCTCTTAGCTCCATTGTCCATCTATAAAACAGAGCTGACATGAGTGTGACATGAGATGGCTTCCTTTTGAAACTTATTAGCAGAGCTCCTGACCCTTTCAGCGCACATTCCCCGAGCCATTTGTAGAACTGTTACCAGAAAGATGTATCTGGGCACCAACCAATTCAATTCTGATTTCTTTAGATCAGACATAGGAGTAAAGTAAAAAACCCTTTCTTGGTACTCAGAAGCCAGCACTTCCAACTCAAATCTTTGGTGGTGTTGGTTTTTGTTTGTTTGGCTTTTTTTGTTTTAAGCACTCTCCAGACCTAGCATGGACCCTAACATGGGGCTTGAACTCATGACTGTGAGATCAAGACCTGAACTGAGACCAAGAGTCAGACACTTAACCCACTAAGCCACCCAGGTGCCCTCCATCTTAAATCTTTGGAAGGCAGAGATAAGGATGCTTCTTTCAGGAGGGTGACTGTAGAATGCCCATCCTTTTTCTAGCTACAAGGCCACATGCTCCCATGGCCAGCTTTACCTAAGTACAGCACCAGCAGATAAAACAGTGGAGGGGCCTGGAAACAAAAGACTGCCATGTTCACCCAGGATGGTAATTTCCTTAAAGCGCGCGAAGAGGGGTTGATACTAACAAGAGGTTGGAGGCAGGAGAATACGGCCCAGTGGAACTGCTTCTGGAGGTGATTTGGAAGAAGCAACAAAGCAGACAGACTGGAAAAAGCTTTCTGTGCTGCTTCCTGTTCCTCTTTCTCTTCTTCCTCATCTTTCTCTTCACCAAGTCTCTCCAGCTGGCTTAAGAATTATGTTTGAGTAGCAAACCAGCTCACTCATGGTGGAGCATGGCCTTTTGATACAGGCAAACCTGGGTTCAGCTCCTGATTCCATCATTTGCCCCTCTGAGCCTCAGTTGTTGCAGCTGTAAAATGGGGGTGATCCTGCTTATCTCTGAGAGTCAACTGCAAATATCACGTGGGATTATGTGGGTTGAGTCCAGCATAAGTGCCTGGCTCATGGAAGATGCAGAAAAAACCCTAGTCCACCTCCTTCCCTCTTTCCCTCACTCAGGCTTGCTCACATCTATCTCTGAAACAGAGCTGTTCCTTCTTTAACAGAAGAAGCTTTGCCTGCCATAAAACATTAGCAAATAGTGATTGACTTGGGGTTTTTCTGGGAAGAACTGCATAAGAGCATGTAACATGTGTTCATTTGATTTGTAGGTATATTATAATTACTTTTCACCACACAAAACCCACTCGAGGTACAGTTAAGCAAAGGAATAATGCTGCTTTTGTTCCTTTTCTCTCAACCCTTCTTTCTCTCATGCAAACAAGAACATTAATCCTTTGTGGCTCCCTGGACTGGTGACTGTGGGAAAACCCATCACCTAGCTCTTTTTTTTTTTTGGTCCCTGAAAATAACATAATTGTCATAATCTCATAACTTCTGAGTGCAATTTCAACCCTCTCATTGATAAGGCAATAATAACCCGAGCAAACAACTTTAGATGAACTAACAAGTCTGAACATAGAGTGGAGGCATTATCTAGATGAAATGAATTGAAGTTCTCTACGAAGTTGTACAAATTCTTATAGGCAGAATAGACTTTGAACAGAGCTATTAGACCAGGCCATTAAGTAGCCTGGCTTCAAGTTAGTCTCCCAGAGATGTTTGGTCACAAGATTCAGACTTCTTAGATTTGGCTGCCTGGGTAGAAAATGTGCACTGAGGTGCTTGGGGTCAACTCAATCTACTAGTGGCTTGGTCTTTTTTCCCTGGTATTCCAGTGGAAGACAAGAAAGCCTCTTACACACTTCTCCTATAAGCCATATGAGTGACAGCTAGAAAACACACCTTAAGCACATGGGTCAGTATTCTCTCTGTTTTTATGTTCAGGTCACAGCTCCTTGGAGTCACCGACAAACGTGCCTTCTCCTCCTCCTGATCCTTTTGTATGGAATCTGACCTGGATAATGAAAGATTCCTTCCCTTTCCTGTCTCATCGCAGTCGATACGGTAAGTATATATTTTATAGTCGATGTGTAATCACCATCTCATAATTAAGGAAGCTGTGAGTTTTAGTATCCACTGGCACACATTCCAGCCAGGCCTGGCATCTCCAGACCAACAGGTGCATTCTTTATCCTAGATAAAGCCCATGGCTTTGTTGCTGCCGTATCCCAACCTCCCAGCCTTTGTGGCGTATAGTGTTCCTGACACCCCTGCCCAATCATTAGATGCCACACTTATTTGCATTTTGACTGTGGTTTCTAGACATAGGGCTCTAACTCATGAGTGTTTCTAGCAGTGGTGACCTCTTGAGAAAGAATTGTTGTTATGAAGGTCACAGGTCTTCTGGGGCCCCTCAGGACATTCTGGGGCCCCTGACATTTGGGTAACTCCTTAAAGTTTCCCAGACATACTCCTAGATACTAGTTCAACTCATGTGACTCTGCACCCACTTCAGAAGTAAGGAGGCCAGGTCCCGTTCCATTTTCACAGATGTAGAAACTGAGCTTAATAAGATTGTGCAGAGTGGACTCTAACTACAAAGCCAGAATTCTTCCCTTACATTCCCTTTTCCTCCCAGGGGGGCCACCTACTCAGCCTGCTACATCCTGTCTTAGGAGGCCATATATGTATGGTATAGGATTCTTCATTCTTTCTCTGTGCTAACAGCTAACATTCTAATAGTTCATAGGAGCTGGGCCTCTGCAGAGGGAAGAGCAGGTTTGGAAAAGAGCTGATGTATTTTCAGGTGGACATTTTTTCTTCTCTTGAACTTCTCTAGAGTGAACCCCATTAGAGCAAGCACTAAGCTGCATTTGTTCCCCACTTTATTATATCACATAGAACATACTCATAAAGGCTTGTGCATGATGAATGAATACAAAAGGCTTCTGGGGATGGAACTTACTCATGAGGTCTGCTTCAATTAAGTATTTATGAACCTGGTATAGCAGTGAGTTCTAGATTCCCTTCTGGGCATATTTACTCATCCTGATACTCGGTCTCTGCCATTGGACCTGAGCTTTTTAAAATGCACCTAACAGAGATCTTCCACTCACTGCTATCCCTCATGCATAAACGCAGCTAGTCTTGGTTCATATTAACTGTACCTTTCATTTCAAACTTAAAAAAATAAATGCATCAAAAACCCTAGGGCAGTTCTAGGATTATACTCTGCTGGGATGTTTCCTGCTGCTTCTAAGCCTCCCTAGTGGGAGAGGAAGATCAGTAGTTGTCAGAAGATTCCAGATAAGAATTACTTCTTGATTTTATTTAAGCCAGACATTGAGTGTCATTTTGTGATAAGGGCAAGTGTCTATAAATAATTGAAATCTTGTCCTTTGTATCGTTATTGCTTTGTAACCAGATTTGTGATACAACCGGTCTTTGGATAACATTTTGAATTTGCTCTCAAAGTCATTCAGTATCTCTGCAGGATGACAACTTTTATAAAATGCAGAATGTCCAAAAAAGGCATTCTACCTCCTGCATGACACAGAGGGCATTGCATTTGTTCTCTGTAGAGCATCCAGAAAGAGGTTGCAGGTTGAAAGGAGAAAGTCACTGGAGTTTATTAAGCTGCTCCCTACCACTGCTTGGCCCTGATACACCTACTTCCTTCAGGCCTCACCCTTATCTATAAAATGAGGTAGAAAGACATGCTGCCTTGGGGCAAAAGAGTAGATCAGGAGCATTCTCGAGAGCCTTTTCGAACTCTCCTTATGGCCTAGTATCCTCATGAATTGCCTTCTTCTAGGCAAAAGAGAGGACCCAAACCATTGGCCAGACATTGCCCAAATGCTGGATGGAGATGCCAAAGGCAGTGCCATTATTGCTATTGATTACAGGGCAGGAAGAACTGATTCTTGATTGGTGGCTCCTTGACTGAGTGCAGTGGTAATTTCAGAGCCTTTTACCTTACTATATTTAATTCCGCCACAACCTACCTGCCTCCACTATCACCTCTATGTACCTGGTCCAGTGCCAGATGGGCAGAGGGGATACAAGTACAAAAATAAGTAAGACTTATTCCTGCTATCTCAAGGCTTATAGGCCAGAGAAATAATTCCAGAGGCAGCTAGGCTTATTGCTACAGCAAGCACCTCTGGGGGGCTGATCCTGGAGCACAGATGTTGAAGACTCATCCGAAACCCATTACAGAGCAAACTGAAGGCCAAGACTCCTGTCCCCTGAAGGATGTTTGTGGGGGCCCAGCCCACATGTCTGTATGAACCAGAGAGGCCAACAGACTCATTGGTGATAAATCTGTACCTTTCAACTGCCGTGAAAGACATTTTAAGAAATGTTAACAACTTCATTAATTTTAAGGCCTCAAACTTGGGCAGAGAAATTTGACTGGAAAATTGCCGCCTGAAGGGATAGTTCTTCAGACAGTGAGAAGTAACCAAGTCTCAGCAAGTCATTGTGGGCGTTTGAGTGGCGGAGTCCCATGCCTGCATTCTGGGGATGAGGCAGAAGGGGATATTCTGGAGGGGGCGGCGCACAAAGGGCCAACAAGAGGGGCCAGCAACAACCTATCCACAGGCATCATGACAGACAGCAGCAGGCCGGCCCTCTCAGGCAGGCTGTCCGGTTCTGAATTGAATGTGGCTTTCTTTTTACCAGTGTTTTATGAGAAGAGACGAGGTGGAGAGAGGCTAACAAGATTTACTCACCCCCAGCCTGTAATTATCTGCTTGAGGAAAAAGTTTGACCTACCTTTTTGAAGTCTTCCCATATTTCTTCTAATTTACATTGGGCCTTTTATGTCGTGTAAAATATATTTTCTTCAGTGGCATTTGGTATCTGATTCCAGCTCTTTCTCGCTTCTTGTCTTGAAGGACTGCAGCCCGCTTGTGTCATCATTGACAAGCAGAGAACTACGCATTCCTCCCCCAAGGCTTGGAAGGGGGGAGGCATCTAAAGAAATACCTTTTTTTCCCCTTTTATCATCACCTCTTATGCCTTAAGATTATTTATAGGCTTGGCTAGAGGACTGGGCTCTTGTTATCCACCCAGATAAAAATCTGTTCCAACTGATAGCTCCAGGTGCTAAGAGACAGAGGGCACTGGGAGCTATCATCATGTTGAGTTCTAGAGCCACAGAAGCAGATGGTGTCCTGCCCACTTTAGCTCATGTTTGCCCACGCTGGGTGTGGGAAGAATCAGATCAACATGTAAAATGTAATATAATCAAAGGTTCTGCCCCAGATGAGGAGGAGAAAGAGAATTCCTGTTTATTGAAGAACAAAAATGTTGATACTTTGCAGAACTCTTTCACACCCTTTTTCTCACTTAAGCTTGTTATGAAATTATTTTATATCCCATGTAAATTGAGGGCCAAAGAAGTTTATTAACATGGTCCCATCATGGAGCAGAACAGCAGTTAGAAAAGCTTGAACCCAGGGGCGCCTGGGTGGCGCAGTCGGTTAAGCGTCCGACTTCGGCCAGGTCACGATCTCGCTGTCCGGGAGTTCGAGCCCCGCGTCAGGCTCTGGGCTGATGGCTCAGAGCCTGGAGCCTGTTTCCGATTCTGTGTCTCCCTCTCTCTCTGCCCCTCCCCCGTTCATGCTGTGTCTCTCTCTGTCCCAAGTCAGATTGTCTGACTCCAAGTTGAGTGCTCTTTCTACTACAACACAAAGTGAATTCACAGATGAAGTCTTCCCTCCACGGAGAAGGCTCTTACTTCCTGGTGTTGGGACTGAATGACTAGTCTGTTACCCAAGAGCTAGGCAGCTATAAAACCAAGACTTGATGTCCCCAAATTGAGACTATTCCAGGCAAGCCAGCTAGTTCATCTCTTCCCAAACAAGGGGCACCTTGGGCAGTCTTGTGTGCCCTACCATAGACTGTGGTCTCTCTTAAGGGTTGAGTTGTGTTCCCCCAAAAGAAATATTGAAGTCCTAACCCCTAGTGCCTGTGAATTTGGCCGTATTTTGAAATAGGGTTTTTGCAGAGATCATCAACTTGGGTCCATACTGCATTAGAGTAGGCCTTAATCCAATATAACCAGTGTCCTTTTGAGAAAGCAGAGACGCAGACACAGACACACAGGATGGACACCATGTAATGAGGGAGGCAGAGATTACAGTGATGTATCTATAAGCCAAGGAATGCCAAGGATTGGCACCAACCACCAAAACCTGAGAAAAAGGCATGGAACAGATTTTCCCTTAGAGCTGTCAGAGAGAGAATAGCCCTGACAATGCCTTGATTTTGGACTCCTGGTCTCCAGAACTGTGAAAGAATCAATTACTGTTATTTTAAGCCCCCAGTTTGCTGTACTTTGTTATGACAGCCCTAATAAAGTGATACAGTTCTTTGTCCCTCCACTCCTCCAATGTCTAGAACATTGACTCCTGGAAGAGAAAGATTCCCCTTAATGCCCAACATCAGGCTACAACAAAGCCATTGTTAGACTTTAAATAAAAGTTCTATTAAAACTTTTTATGCTTTCAAGCCCATTGGGACCCATCCAATTTGAAGTCTGGTGCTATTGGAAAGAAAGAAAAATTAGACTTTTTAATTACTTTCCCTACTGCCACTACAGGGGCCACTACTGCGGTCCTGTTAATGTATCAATTTCTTTGATTGAAAAGACTGGGTAAATTAAACATATTTCTTTCTCGAAAAAAAAAAAATCAACCTACCACAGAATTGAAAATGGAAAACAAAAAAGCCCACAAATGCCTTACGGGATTTGCTTCATAGTTCAGGCAGGAAGTCAGTTTGATCACATTTCTGAAATTACATATTTAATGTGGCTGGACGTGATCAGCTATTCCACCCTCAAGTGCCTGGTGTCAGTGAAAAGCAGCTCCCAGTTCCCTTGTGGACCACTGTCAGGGCTGAAAGCTTTCTTCCCCGTTCCTCTGCCCTGATAGGCCAGGACTTCTTGTGTTCTCTTTCGACCCTGCTCCATTGAACTGGGAAGTCAAGTTCATTCCTAGTCCATGCTCTTGTATTTTAATCTGTAACATGGTAAGTATAAGCCCTGTGAATGCATT